ATTTGGTACATTTTGAGATGCATGTTAACACTTCATTAGCTTGGAGTTACTGACTCTAGTGTTTTGATTGAGAATATTTTTGCATCAATATACATGACATTTTTAAGGATGCAGTTCGTTGGTGTGTCACAAATAAATACTGAAAACATTTGATAAAACAACCCTGTTTTCTAGAACTAAATTATTGGAACAAGTAAAGCATCCCACTATATTTAAGATTAATTCCTGAGTCCTTCTGCTGAAGTTGCTCAAATTTCCTTTGCAAATGGCCAGCCTTGTCTAGTCTCCCACACTTGTCTAGTCTCCCACACTTGCCACTTGGCTGCGGCTACTTGCCTGTAAGAAACTGTGACCAAAGTATCAAGTGGTTTCTTTTGGTTCAGAATGAGTGAAGCTTCTTTCTCCATTGAAAATATTTCTGGAATAAAGAAATCACCCACTTTTTCACTTCCAGAATTCACGGTGGTTGCCAGGTGGATGAAGAGTTAGCGTAGAACCACTTAGAAATTCAGGACGTTGCTAATTGTTTTTGTTTGCTTCGTAACGTCATTTATTATCTGTGCCTTTCAGACATGTCCTTTATTTGAATGAAGGAAATGCACCTATGTGCTGAAATGCTTAGTGAGTTTATTTAATGGCTATAGTCATAAGAATAAATATCAATAGTATACAAAAGGGTAAATCTTAATTGCATACATCCTCCTTTTCTGCATATGTTTCTTATTTAGGTGGATTCTCTTCAAATTTAATTTTTCCTTCCCAAACTTATGAGGAAATAAGATGATAGACATTTGCACTCCACATTAAGCCATCTAGGTAGTCAGCCAGAATATGTACAAATATATTCTTATGATAGCAGTGTTAATTTTAATTAAAAAATTATGTGGGAGATTTTTATTACATTCTCTCAAAGCAGAACATACTGTATTTTCGTTTTATTATAAAAATAGTGTTAAGTAATATTACTATTTTATTAGCATATTAGTTTTACCCTTTAATAGAATTGTAACATCTTCAGAAAAGGCGTATTTACCAGTGTCTTCAGGGAATTGCTCTAATTGAATTTAGTTATTGAAGAGGAAACGAAAGCACAGAAATAGGTTTTACCAATTACTTTTCTTCTCATCAATACGTTTTATGAATCTTCACACTTAAGTTAGTAGAGAGAGAATAATAATTAAAAATGAAACTTCAAAAATTTAAATTTAATTAGGGACCCCCCCCACTTCCCTGATTGTTACTCTTACATCAATTTGATAATAAGTTAATTATTGTTATACCTTACATTTGAACGTATCTTTATAGCTTTTAAAGATTTTCATTTGTGCCCTGTGAACCAGGAAGCGTAAGGCCAGAATTATACAACTGTTAAGTTGTGAAGTAAAGGAATACTCAGGATTTATGGCTTTTGCGTATCTAAACCAAAGAAACATTCTTTCTGAATAAATAATGATAAAAATTTTAATAGAACAAAAAGCATGTTAAAACCCAAAATAAATAAGACAATGGAAACACTATAACTCTTTTGTTCACTTCTGCCCAGGGATCCATCTAATTAACATCAAGTCATTCAGAGTCACTGGATGGCAGAGTGGGCAGGGGCCCTGAGGACATGGGGACAGCATGGTGGTGTCCTCACCACTAATTCAGCCCATATTACCTTGGACAAGTCACTTAAACCTTCTGGGACTCAGTTTCCTCATCTGTAAAGTTAGGTGGTTGTAGATGGACTGACTGAATTCTAGTGCCCCATAAGACACTAAAATTGAATCTGGCTGCCTTGTCGCCTCATGATAAACATACCTTGGGCCAGTAATAATGACTGACAATTCATTATGCCTAAGGCAATAACCGAGGGCATTTCTTGTTTATGTTATGTTTTACTGATGCCCAGAAAAAAAGGCAAAGTTTTATTTCTAAATTTATTTGCTGTAAACTGAATTTTATAGCCCTAGTATTTTACTTATTGTAACTTTTAGTCTCTCAAATTCCAGTATAATACTCAAAAATATTACTTTTTTTTTAACTATCCATTCAACAAATACTTATTGGGAAGCTCCTGTGTTCTAGGCATGAGGTTACAGTGACAACCCAAACAGACGCCTTCCTGACCAGGAGGAACGTAGAGAGATTGGCGTAGGGCGGGAGGTAGCTCGTTCACTGTGATCCGTTTTATGGTTACGTGATCGATAGTGTCAACAGTATGTGAATGTAGATGATAGTTCTAACCTTTCCCAGTTTACATAGCACAAGCCTCTGTTTATTTCGAGAAAGAGCTGTGTTTCAAACACAATATATTCATAGCTGTAATTTAGGATTTGGGGTAGAAAAGACAGAATTTTCTGTTTTCTTCTGTATGCCCGCTTTATGCTGGATTATTACAGTTAAGTATATATTATTTTAGAGTTCAAGCAAGGTACCAGGTGCACACCTGCCCTGGGCCTGTGCACTCGATGGTTTTTCTCCTGGGACATGTGTTCCCTGGATGGACACATGGCTCACTCCCTCTCATTATGTCTCTGGTAAAATGTCACCAACTCAACAAGTCCTTCCCTGAGCATCCTACTGGAGATTGCAGTCTGCACCCGCCCCAGTCTGCCCCAGGGCTGAATCTCCCAGCCCTGGTTCATGCCTTGTTGTTGTTAGCATTTATCACCTTCTAACATACTATATAGTTTACTTGTTGGAGACTTTATTTCGTGCTTATTTTTTGCCTTCTCTCAATAAAATGCACATTGCTTGAAGGCAGAAATCTTTGTTTTATTCTCAGGTGTGTTCCAAGCACCTAGAACAGTGCCTGGCATGTACACAGCCCAACACATGTTTGCTGAATGACTGAATGAGTGAAAACCCTTAGTGACAGTGAGTTTCACGGATTGGCCTAACACCCTGTGCTCTCATTTGGCTCTCACTCTGCTGAAGATGACAGAAGGAACGTTTGTGTCTCCTGTCCCTGAGAACTCCTGGGACCAAGAGTAAATTTCCCAGAATGACAGACCACTTTGTATTTTGAGTTCAGATACCCACTGGGCCTGCAGCCCCTCTTACTCTGCCTCTCTCCTCCCCTCCTTCAGCATCTCCTGCTGTGTATGTGCCTTTCTTCCCTTCCCAACACCCACCGCCCACTGATCTCGGGCGTGTGCTGTGAGCTCTTCTACTCTCTGCTCCCTGTGACCCTCTCTGCCAAACACGTGGTCAACAGAGTGGATAAGAACAGTCCCTTAGTGTCAGAGAGGGGTTCTCTCTTAGTGCTTTCTCGGGCCCGCACCAGATTTCATGGTTCTCCCCTTCTTGCACAAGGTGCACCCATGGGGCACGCGTCAGAGTCGGCGCCTCCACCGCTCTGCTGGCCAGTGTGTGACAGAAGCAGATTAGGAGCCAGACAGACTCTCTCCCAGTATGGCTGCTGACCGACCTGGTGGCCTGGCGCTGGGCCTGTCCCCTCATCCGTAAGATGAAGGCGACACCTTCTTACAGGATTGTCATGAAGGGTGAAGAAGTCAGTGCCTCCCTCATTGCGTGGCATGGGGTCATCCTGCAGTAAATCCTCTTTTCCAGCTAGTAAAGGAAAGTGGTTCACGAGAGATGTCTCCCTCCTCTTTCTTGCCTTGTTTCCATCTCCTCAGAATGGGATTCAGAGTACCAAAGGCAGAACACACGGCTCAAACCCAGATTCTGAATTTGAGGGACAAAATAGTGTTACATATTAGTTATATGATAGTAAAGCCTAGTTTTTGGCAATGGTGGGAGAGATGAACAGCCCTGGAAGTCTGTATGCTCTGTGAAGGCAGACTCTGTGTGTGCCGGTGTGTGTGTCCCTGGTGCCTAACGGGGCTGCACATGCTGGACCCTCAAGACATCTGGCATCAACAGGTAAAAAGAGTGAAGATAGGAGAGTAGAATGTAGAAGTTTTCATCACAAGAAAAAAAAGTTGTAACAATGTGTGGTGATGGATGTTAACTAGACTTACTGTGGTGATCATTTCTCACTATTCTCAAATCTCCTGTCAAGATGTTGTTTGTACACCTGAAACTAATAAAACGTTGTATGTCAGTTATATCTCAATTAAAAAAACACGGTTGTCTCCTTAACATTGTAGAAAGGAAGTGATATCAGGAAAGAAAAATAAGCATAAATTGTTGACAGTTATTGAGATTACACATTCGTTTTTATAGTTTCTCTGTTTTTTTATGTATGAGTTTCTTGACCACAATATTTTATATTTGTTTCAAACAATACAGTAGTCCAGATACATTTTAGGTTATTAGGTTTTGTGTAAGCTGCTTCGGGAGGTGAGCTCAATATATAGACATTATTTCTATGGCAAGATGCATTTTGATTTCCAAGTGTTCAGTGTACATATGTATTTTTGGAACATAGAGTGAATTGGAAACTATATTAGTTTTTTTATTTGTGATATATGATTAGCATTTAAAATGCTGCATGATTATAGAAGCATCTTTATGATAATTTTAAAAATAATTTTAATAGTTGATTTAAAATACTTATGTCTAACATATTTCACTATAGCATTTTTTTTTCTTTTCTTCATAATTTTGTTGGGGAAGCAAAAAATCTTTGTAGCATCAAGTTTCAACGTGTAAAAGTAGGCAGCACGTCCCCCTCTGTGGTCGTTTAGCACCGGCACCATTCCTGTCATCACATCTGTCTTCACCACGTCCCCGTGGAATTGTTCACTTGTTAGGAGAGGCGGGTTGCTCAGCAGGGATCCGTGTTGAAGCTTCACTGTAGACTGACCTGTCTGTCCCAATGGAGTGTCAGCTTCTTGTGTCTCCTGTTGGGCAACTTGTGTCTTCCACACAGCACCAGTTCTGATTTTTATTTTTTAATTTTTTTTAATTTTAAAAAGTATTTACTGACAAAACCATGTAGATAAGATAGTTGCCATTTTTCATGTCTGTTGCTTTTATCAGTGTATGATATTCCTGTAGCTTTATTCATCATATATTTTGTATTTCTTTAACATTTCATTCCACAGGCACTCCAGAAAGTCTGAAAGATCTAGCATCCAAAAACAGACTAGGAAAGGCACCGCCTCTGATGCAGAAAGGTAGGCTCGGTGCTGTGCTGGGCGGCCATCTTCGCTTCCGCTGATGTGTGCAGGGCCTTCTCTGTCACATCACACGAGCAGCTCATAATCACAGATCGTGATGTTTACAGACATTCACGTGAATAGCTCTCCTCTGTGGGAAGAGTCTTGTTCAAAAAACAAGAGAAGGGTAATTTGAAGGCAGCCCTTAAATCTTAGAGTTTAAGGCAGATATCATATATTTCTCTTAGTGATCCTTGCGGTTGCTAAAGAGGATTAGACCCATACTCATTCCTATATACATAATAGGACATTAATATTTTGTTTCTGAGATCATTTAAATGTTACCAATGAATATAGTACCTAGAATATGCAAATATTTTTAGTGTCTGTTATTTATCTGAATGACGTCATCTTTTAAAAATTTTCTTTTCTGCAAATGGATAATCTAAGATTCTACTTGTGTATTACAACCAAAGATATTTGCTGAGTTAATGTAAAATTAACTATAAGGGATTATTGACCCTTGTTTGCAATTTCCAACTCCGAAGATTTTTTGAGTATTTTTAGTTGCAAGATATTGACATATTTTTTTACATAGCTGTAAAAAAAAAAAACACTTGAAGTCTAATTAACATATATTTGTTCATCTAAAAGTTATTGAGAGCATATAGGGGCCACAGATGTCAATGAGCAAGCGCCTCCCAGGGTCACCATGGTGTATAATAACTGGGGGCCTGCACGTGGCTCAGGGAGAACCAGGGAAGAGGGGGTGTGGATGAGTTAGGAGCCTTTTCATAAACAGGTGTCACTGGACTAAATCCAGATATATGAAAGTAGACATGAGGAATAGACCATTCCATGACAGGGAAACAATGGAGAAAACACAGATCCTTGAAATACCCTCTTGAGTCTGGGGAATCCATCCCCATATTGGGAGGGAGAATAGGACTCAGGATTTGGGAGAGAGGCCTGAAAATAAAACTGGGAAAATCCTTAGAGGTTGTTATGCGTGACCTGTGGGCTGTGCTACAGAATGTCAACTTCTGATTTATTCATCCATGAGCTGTCGATGGGCTTTAAACATGGGCCGTGATGATTGGTTTTGAGTTCCAAAGTTATAGATCACTTTGACAACATTTTGTGAGACAGATTGAAAGAACCAAGCGTAGATTCGACATGCCAGCTAGGCTGTCACGATAGGCTTGGTCAAGATAGAATCTGTACAATTCAGCAATTCATTCAATTAGCAGATATGTGCCAAGGTGTGTGCTAAGTTCAAGGAGTAAGATACTGAGCCGTGTATGAAAATATTTTGAAAGATTTGGTGACCAATTATATGTAGAAGACAGGCAGCACTGATTTCTGACTTGGTGCCATTTAAAGCAGGGCTTCAGATTCTTGGGGGAGCTCTTGAGTAAGATGAAGTCCGACCTTTCACCCTCCTGTGAATTCAGCTCTGTCCTGCTGGCGCCATTCCGCGTACAGCTCTAGTGACTCTTCTTCTTGTGGAGCCTGCTCTCTGTGTCCCAACTGGGGACGTTCTGTCAGGAAGAGTATTTAGAATTGGTGAAGCACCCATTTTATGTTGTGCTGGTGCTACTGTAAAGAGCCCGTGTAGGCCTGTAAGGGCCAGTAGAGGAGGAACCATTTTCAACAGTTGACCTTAAGTACCATGTGCATGTCCATCCCTAAACAAGTCATTAAAAAAAACCCAAATTGTATTTTTAAGCTGCAGTAGAAGCAATTTACTGCAAGTCCATTTGCAGCTATAGAAATGTCTGACCAACAACCTAAGGTTTTGATGAGAATGTGTTTTACTTAAGTTGAAGTCAAAACACTAGTCTTAGGTGAAGAGAGTGGGCCTGGGTTGGACTCAGTGTAAATATTTAGATATTCATTTGAAGACGATGAACTAGAGTCAGGCATACTTAGGTTTGGATTACAATTTTGCTCTTGAAGCCTAATTTTTTTGTTTAAAAAATATGAGATATTTATAGATATATATAGCAGAGTGGGTATTCATTACATGCCATTTTCCATATATTTAGTTTCTACAAACTCTTAAGACAATTCTGCTAAAAGTTGCCAAACATTTTGATACTTGCGCATATATTTATATTGTGTTTTACAAGAGCAGCAGTACATCCAGGGATGTGCCATTTTTCCTCTCGTGACACGGAAGCAGATCCCGTCTCAGCAGACAGCAGAGGGAGTAGGCACGGGCGCTCGGCAGGTCTGCGTGGGTCCTGCCGTGACCACTCCTTAGCTCTTTGGCTCTTTGCATGCAAGTGCATCTATGATCCTCAGTTTCCTGTCCGTAAAATAGGAACAGGAACACCTCCAAGAAAAGAACGTGTGTGTGTATACACACACACACACACATGTACATACATACATGCACACATACATATGTACACACACATTCCACGCCCGGCAGATATAGGTGGCTCCATACTGGGGCTCAGTGAGGAGTGGTTACCATCGTTCTGCTTATCTCTCCTTCACCCCTTGTTGATTCTACAAAATGCTTGTTCTTAGTCTCCTTCCTTCTAGATCCTTATATTCTCAGCACATCCCATTTCACTGAAAAGATCAAAGCTCCACAGCCGGGATTCTCCCGCATTTCACTCCTGTACCTCAGGATTTCTCAGTCAGTTCTTTCTTCTTGTCCTTGGCCCCATCACCTCTCGTCTCCAGAACCTGCTCCTCTGCCTTCACGTTCTGCATTTCCAGTCTCCTCACTTCCCTCCCTGTAATTCCGCCTCCCCGGCACACTCCTCTCTCTTCCTCAGGCGGGGTGGTCTCTGTGCCCCCTTTGTGCTTCGTACTTGTTATAGTCTGGCTGGTGGCAGGAACTGATGTGTTATTGAAGGACTTTTAGTTTGTGTCAATGAAAAAGCAGATCTGATGCTCAATGTTTAACCTCAAACACTACAAGCTGTTTTCCACACTGCACACCCAGGCTCGGGAGCTGGCAACAGTAAGTCACAGAGGCTCTGTCTGTGTTATATTCACCGAGAAAGACATTTATTTCCCCCCAGAATTGCTTTTGCTATTTTTGCCATTTAGTTTGGTGCCACATAAGGTCCACCTCAAGTTTCCACATTTCACGTCACATTCACGGAGTCCTTGCAGTACTTGTAAATTGAATTAAGGAACAAAGTGAGATTTTAGTGAAATTGCAAGATCTGTGAAATTTCTCTGTAGTACTAGGGTGAAAACTGTGGTATTCGGTTTTCAAACCACACTTAGAAAGTGTATTCTGAACAAGGATTGCCTGAACTTTATTCTCAAGACAATGGCTTTTAAAGAGTGATAGATAGAAACTCATTCCCCGTCCTTGGAAAAGATGTGATCATGCAGCCCTTCCCGTATGAATTAATTCTGTAGTTGAGTTAATGTGAAAAGTCAGCTCAGAGTGAATGGACTGTGTTAATATGTAGATATATTGACAACATATAAGTACTGTCAGTTCTTTTTCTTTTAATTTGGAAATCGAGGTGACAGTCCAGGTTTCGGGATCTGCATTAGGTCTGATAAAGCGTTGCTCAAGAAGATAAAACACACATTTATTAAATACCTAAGTTGTACCTTTTTGTTCTTTAGAAGCTGACATTTTCCCATTTTATTGTTCTGAAACAGAGGAGATACCCTGAATCAAAATAATTACAGCTGTGAAGATCATTTTACTTGAAAGAAAAATGGTCGATCCAAATACAAGATGAATAAAGCACTCAATAGTGTCCTTCCAGTGATCAGTGTCTATTCTTTACGCTCACACTTTCAGTCGCTTGATACGGGAATTTTACAGCATCGTTTTTAAAAGGATGAGGTATGATTTCATTGCTTCTGGTGCTGTAAAAAAAGTAATGCATTTTAGGTATTTTAAATGTGCATTTTATTTAAAATACACACTGAAAATGATGAAAAAGGCAAAAGCATGTATCTGTTTTGAGCAAGCATATATATATAAACATCAGTTTTTAATTCTTAATCCTTAATTCATAAATTGGCTTTATAATAATTTTGAACACTACATTGAGATAACTGTCAATATGTGGACAAGTATCTTTTCACATATTTTATATCTTAGAAGATATGTGTCACCATTTGCATTTAGTCAGTTCAAGGAGGAAGCACCCTTTGTCCCATCGTATCATTTTAATTTCTTGCGTACATTCGCCTCAGAAGACACCTTCCTTTTCGTACCTGTTTGGATAGCCTTCCTTTGCAGAGTAAACTTTCGAACATTGTAAAATATGCAGAGAGCCCTACAGTGCACGGTGTCTTCTTGAAGGCAGTGCTTGCAATGTCCCTGCTTTGGTTCTTCTGGTATATTCACTCCCTCAGTCAAGGGGACTTCAGTGAGCGTTGTCTCCAGGCAGCTGTGTTCTAGGCTCTGGAGATACAGCTCAGAAAAAAACAAGAGACAGAGTCTCTGCCCTTGAGCCACCTATGAGAGGTTTATCACAGTGGAGGAGTCCAGATGAGCCTCTAGGAACTGCACGGCGTGCACCTTTGTGATAACTGGTCAGTCTGATTTGAATTCCATTTCAGTAATTGCGTGATGGGTTTTCTTCTGGCTTTCAACATCACTGTGGTATGAGTAACCAGGTTTTCCTTGGACAGATGTTGGTATCAAAGTTAATATGAACCTGCTGACTGAAGATCTTTTTGACCCTAATGTTTTAGGGTTCTCCCACCATGTCTTTCTAGAAGGGGATACGCAGCCCTGAGAGCGACTGATCAGCCAGTCCTTCGGGGAACAGCTCCCACTCGCTCCCGGTCGAGTGAGCACTCTAGTGTCAGAGCACTGTGCTCTGTCGACCACCTTGCCCCTGGAGGGTCGGCGCCACCTTCTCCACTTCTGACAAGGTCGCTACTCAGTGTCCAGCCCAGCATCCGTGTCCTGCCTCCGGGCGTTGGTGTGGCGGTGTACCTTCCCTAGCACTCAATGCTTTCACTCATGATGACCCCATATTTTAATCCTTCCTTTGTGACACTTAAACCTCTCCCACATCCTCTACTCCTCCATCTATCTTCACTGTGCTGGTGGTATTCTGTAGTCCCTGCCAGTTACCTACCATTGAAGATTAAATTTGGCTGTGTTATGTCCTTCCATCTGTTTGTGGCATATTCATATATATATTTTTTAATTATGTGAAATTCTGTATAAGAAATTACCTGGAATTAAATGTGTATTTGCTTTAAAAAGTGTAAGAGGAATTTTTTAAAAACCTTTCGTATGTGTTCAGTAAAATGTCAGAGTCTTTTAAAGTCCTTTAGATAAAAAGAGCTTACTGCCAGTGGACGAGGTCAGCCTTGCCCTGTGTGGTGGTCGTGTGGCCGCACACTCTTCGATGTGTGGTTTCGACCCTGGCACCAGTGCACTGCATAGCATGTGCCCAAGGCTATTTGTTTAAATATCTTTCAAGGTTTTTCCTATTTAAAAATAAGGTACAAGTGAATGGTAGTTTATAAAAGTGTAAGGCTAGAACTATTCTTATCGTGCACAAACAATTCTAGATATAAATGTCGACTTAGCAGCAATTTAGGCAACAGCCTTTCTTAACTGAATTATCCACCTTGTTGAGATTCAGAGGCTGTAAGTAGGTGTATTTGGTTCAGCACTACCCAAAATGGGTAACTTAATGGAAAGACACAACTTCGTAGAAAGTCAACAAGAAGTGCGTCCAGTTCTGCTCAGTTCAGGAACTCGTTCCACAGAACCGTGTGTGGGGCAGATGTGGCGCTGTCTCTTTTAGCCTCTGTTGTTCCTTTTACACAGATCGTTGAAAGTATTTGATTTTGCTTCCGAAGGGCCAGTTAGGGGTTTTATGTCTGTTTTAATAGGAACAGGAGGAAGGGAAAGGTTTCTGTCAGCGCTTCCTGGAATTTCATCGTTTCATTCCCCTTTGTCTTTTGCCTGCAGAATGCGCCGGCAAGGAAGCCCCAGCCGGTCCCCGCCCGTGGACGTGGCCTTCAGCAGCCGCAGGGGAAGGCAGCTGCCCCAGGTGCCTGTGCGGAGTGGCAGCATAGAACAAGGTATCCACAGAGAGAGCGCTGTCCAAAACCGGGGATTGGAAGCCCCCTCTTTTTATACTCCTTTTACTGAAGGAATAATATTTTGATCACATGCAGTTTGCTGAATCCTAAGAATCTGTTTCTTAGAGTTCTATTCCTGGCACCTAGCTATGATGGTTCATGGCGTATACTCTACTTTTGCTGAGTGAGTGAATGAATGGATTTTAGATGACCAATGAAAAGAACGGACTGAGTCCTAGAAATACCTTTTTTCAAAGGGACAAAGGAAGAAAATGAAAATTTAAAAATCTTAGTAAAATATAGTATTTCATGTGTTAAAGGAAGACTTATTTAACCTTGTCTTTAGAATATTTTTTAGGTTAAACACTTGATCATATTGAAATCTTTACTAGTACTTTTTATGTTAACTTACTTGCAATATCTTATATTTTTTATATGTTTAAGGATGAAAAAATGACTTAGAGCACACATTGTAGTCTTTTTTTCTTAACAGTTCATGTTACTTAGAGGTTCCCTTATTTTAAACATATACAGGTGTTTCATTTTCCTAGCGACAAAGAGAAAGAGAGAGTTTTAATGGTGGAAATTAAATTCACCAGACTACCTGGGCTAGATGACTGAAGTACTGGGTTAAAATAGTCAGTTTCCTTCATGTGACCCGAGGTCCTGTCCCGTTTCTCAGTAGGTGAAATGATTTCTTATTAGTATATGTTATCACACAAATATTGTCAGAGATTTGTTAGGTAGTTTACTGAAATAATTTTTAATTTGGAGTTGTACTATAAAGTCAGTGAACTTATATTTAAAACGTGTCTTGAAAATCTTCATCCCTATGAAACAAGTGAAAGGTTAATATTTTAATATTTTTTTCAACGGTATTGGTTGTTACTGATGTAAAACTTGTGTTTTACTCCATATTGAGGGTGCTGGGTGTGTGTTTTATTCACTTAATTGAAGTGCTTTACTGCATGTATCACTGAAAGGTTAGAGATCTAAGAAGATAAATATGTTGTTTCAAAGACTGATATGGCAGAGTCTATAAGCAAAATATTTGGTTATAGAAAAATCAGTGTAGATTTTAAGAAGTGTTAACTTATGGATAGAGGAATACCACTACTGTCAACTCTGGATTTATATTAATTTTTAAAATCATACATCCCGTTGAGATGTCATACTTCAATATTCAAGGTTGTTATATGGGTATTCATTTAATCAGGAAAATATGATGCTATGTGAAACTCTGACTTTCTTTTCTAAAGAACAATTAATTCATTGAAATTCTCAATTCACATGTTTAACAAACTTTATTTTCTCTTTTCTGGGAACATTTTGAGAAGATAATTCATAATTAATGTTATTAGGACTGTAATTAGCAATACCCTAGATGAAATTATTTTAAAATTTACTTTTAAAAAATAAAATTTGGTGTTTACTTAAATTATGCATTCATGAACTCCTGTTGCACAACTAAAAGAACTACAAATTCTGGTGTTGAGCTGCAAACTCAGTGTTATGACCATATTTTGCTACATTGATATCCAAAAAGTCATGTGTTCCTAAAATTCTTTGCATTTCCTCCAGTTGTTAAAGCACCGTACAGGTTCAAAGGCGTATAAGGGTACTGCATATAACTCTCACATAGTGAGGTTATAGTTTTTTTATTTCTGTATCTATAAGAATTCCTTCTACAAAATCAGTTGGACTGTATGCTGGACTTTATTTTTTTTAAAAAGCTCATGTTCTGTTGTTAATATCAGCATTACTGTTTATGATATTCATATTCACAGCTGTTTTTCAGAGAAATCGTCAATTTGTAAGGATTGAAGTGAGGGGGAGGAAAGGAATTACTGAGGGTGAAGTTGATGGAGTTATTTTGATATTTAATATCATAAATAACTAGTAAACACTTGTTATTGGAGGTTCCTGAAGTTTAAGATATTAAGAATCATATAGATACAACCTTTTAAAAATATAACAAATATGTATTATTATATCTAAGTGTTTTTCGATAATTAAAATAGATCTGGTTAAATTTATGATGTTAACATGTGTTTGGGGACTTTTGGCAAATGATGATACTTTCCGCCATTGTCTTGTGGATCTATTTCAAACTGAGCACACGTGGCAACTGTGCATGTCCTAAAACATGTTTTTAGAAGTAAACTTCTAATTTGATTCAGGGGGCTGGAGAGAGTTTAGCATGTTCTATTTAAGATTGATTTCATTGTTGTTTTTAGGGCTATAGAATTATGTTGTGTTTTTTGTTTTTCTTTTGATATTATTTGTTAAACTTTAGTTCTGTCTTCTACGAAGACTGATGCTGAAAGCAGTTTATTTGCAATTGATTAAGCCTCTGCTGCACTTGACTGTCTTCCTTCTAGTCTTCTTTTTTGTTTGTTTTTTACTTTTAACAAAGGGTAGTTTTCTTTTTTAAGAAATAACTGAGTTGTTAAACAATAAGAGCAAATATTTCAGATGGTTTAGCTTCCTGGATGGTGGTACAACTTCTTGATGAACTTATAAAATGATGTTCTTCATATGCAGTTTCTGGATACAGTTACCTACATTGTTGTTTGTAGGATGGTGCTGGGACGGTTGGGTTGTTTGACTGGATGCCTCTGTTTTTTTCTGTAATTCAGTTTTACTGCTCTCTCTTTGTACCATAAAAGCAATATGTATTTTTAAAGGCTAACATATCATTTGAAAAGACATATTTACTTAATTTTTGAAAAAAATATTTTTATGTTTCTTTTAAAAATTAGAAATGCTAGCCTATTTGCTACATAGAATCTGATTATGTTCAAGTACGGTTGGGGAAAAGAAGAGGGGGGATTACAATACAGATTTTGAGATAAAGTAGCTGAAAAGTAGCCTTAAAGTTTAGGTAACTCTCCTGGTGTGTGACAGTGGAGAGCAGACTTCTGAAAGTTTCTCTGGTTGTATCCAACACTGTCATCCAGTGTAGCCCTCCAATGCAGTGAGGCTGAAAGCCGCACAGCTGGTTTTCTAAAAACGTTGTATGGTTTTCTGAAACCCACCAAGTGACGCTCCTGCTGCTCAACTGGGTGTCTTTTAAAGAAGAAATATTTGCAGTGTTCACAAACTAACGCTTGATATGCCACTTATGTTTCTGTGCTGTTATTGCCTCTGCTACCTGACCCTCTGATGATGCCCATTCGGGAATATCTGGAAAGGGCTTTATTTCTCGGTAAATGTGGGACCAACAAGGAGGTGGATATAAAGCTTTACCAAATGTCTAAGAAACGTAGTCTCTCGAGGACAGTTTCACTTTGATATGTAATTAATTTGAGAAGGGAGAGAGAATTACTTAAGTCAGAATGTAGTTTTTCCATGTGGAAAATGTTACAGAATATTTTCCACAGTGAAAAGAAGGTACCTACTATCTAGTAAAAAATGCAATTTATTTTCTCGTTTATTATATGAAATTTCAAATTATCTGAATTGCTATCATTTTTGAAATGATAAAAGTTTTGGTTATGAATGTTAGATATGCTTTTAAATATATTTTCTATAAAAAGTCACAATGGACTACAATTAAAATGTGTTAGTGAAATTGTTGCTGAAATATTTTGCAATTCTTAAAAGGCAAGAAAAAATACTACAAAATATACTTTTCAAATGCCAAACATATTAATTTCCTAATGTTTCTGTTTTTATTTTAAATCTTTAAATTGTTGTATTCATTCTTTCTTTGGTTAATTTTAGAACCATATTTGAGCCTTCCTCCTGGTTTGTCGTTGCGGTTTATCATGTCATATTATGTGTTATGCATTTTTATTGTTCATGCCATTGTTGATTCACATTTCCACGTCTAACTATAAATTTGCTGATTTCTTTCTTTTGTTTCCATCATTATGTGCATTTAATTCATTGAAGAACAAGAAAAATATAACTCTTCCACAAAAGGTAAATATTAACGTAACTTTTTAACCATGTAATATTGTTCCTTTTCTTTCATAATATATGAGAGTTATATATTTATATAACTAAATATAAACTATATTTATTGAAATAATGACCAAAATTATTTAACAGGTAGTTTTTTCTGCAATGATTTTGTTGAGCATTTGGTATTAATTATTTCATATTATGAGCAGTTCACATCAAAGAGGAAAAGATTAAAATTAAGAGTATTTTTGCTTCAAAATTTATGTATCCACACTGACAACTAGAAAACGATTCTCTTTGGAAAATCATGACATGTTTTTTATGTTTTTGTTTGTTTGCATCCCCTGCTCTCACAGATGAGCGCTTACTTCTCGTTGTCTGTCTGGGGTCATGTCTGGTTCGGGGACAGACCCTCCCTGGATTGCCTCTCTAGGTGGCAGTGACCTTGTGGACTGTCTGGCCCCTGCTGCCTCACGCATTGGAGAAGTAGCTACCCTCGGTGGCTCCTCTTGGCCTCAGCACTGTGCGGTGTCCCTCAGTCCCATCTTCCTGGGGGACGTGGGTGGGAAACCGTCCAGCCTGCTGTGTCGGCACTCTGCCGGCCTCCTGCCTGTCATCTTGGGTCATTTGACCCCCATTCCTGCGCTTGAGTTTCAAGTGACTGCAGCCCTCATCCTTCCCTCGTGTGCCACTCACCCCATTCCCTACTCAGTGTGACTTTGGCCTGATAATTAATACTTGAACTTGAGTTTTCAGCTTAATGAAATAATATTATTAATAATTAAAATTATACAATTCTGAAGAGTTTAGTAAAAGTACATTTACTCAGTATTTGAACATGGATTAATGATTGAATTAATTTGTGATCCATAGTAACCCTAAAAGTTAGTCCTGGGAGTAGCACCGTCCTGATTTTGTGAATTATGGAACTCAGGTTCTGAGAGATTCAGAGATGTGCCGAGTCTCCCTGCCAACGAGCAAGCGATAAGCCCAGCTCTCTCACTCTGACCCCTCCGTCCACCACATTGTAGTGTATCCTGTTTTAATAGCCATAAATCCCATCTGTATTATCACCAACTCTTAGTATATTT